ATCCATGCCTAAACCATAATAACGTGCCTGTTCCCGGAGCATACGCTCACCAGAGCATCCATGCCTAAACCATGCCCTCTCGCATGGCATCCATGGCTGGATGTAGACGGGCCCGCAACACATTGCCAGTCTTCGAACTGTCAAAATTCTCGAAATCACAAGTAGTTTGCCGCCCGAATTGCCGGCCTCAAAATTAATGTTTTACATGTGAACACCAGAAAACCCTGTAAAATACAGCATTCCATGGCCCTCAGTAAAAAGCACCGCGCACAACGGACCCGCGTAAACACACGAGCGCGATGCCTCCTACTACTACTACTACTACTACTACGAGAACAACAGTGGCCGTAGGATAACAACGGACCGGATTCGGGAGGCGATTCTGCAGCTGCTCGGCAAACAGCACATAGTCAAATACAGGGTCTGCTTCACTCCATCCTGGGTCTTAGGGTTTGGGATTCCAGGGTTTGGGCTGTAGGATTTCAGGGTGTTGTGGTTTAAGATTTCAAGGTTTGAGTTAGGATTTCAGGGTATTAGGGCTCAGAAGTTTCGTTGCTCAAGATGTTAGTTTTCAGGTCAGGCTGGGTTCAAGAGTTACGCTTCAACACGCGTGTTGCAGGCATGGCAGGTGACAGAGGCTTGGAGTTCCGGGTTTAGGGTTGAGGGCTGTGGCGAAGCATCAATAGAGTTATCTATTCGGAAGGCATGGCACTTGCCATTCTGTTGCTACGTGACTACCTATATTTCTATACACATACATACCTTGTAGCTTACCCGCCTTTCTAACAGAAGCCCAGCATCCAGGAACGGGGTATAAGTAAAGATGCTTGAGCTGCAGCGGCCTTTTGAGCTTGCTGAGGACTTCCGAGTCGAAAGCTGAAGAGGTTCTGCCCACACGGGACTTGAAAACAAACAGGGCATCGCTACCTTCAACGACAATGCCGTTTCTGGGCTTCGGATTTTGAGTTCAGGGTTTAGGGGTTCGAGGCTTAGGGTTTACAGGCTTATGGAAAACAAAAAAAGGCATCGCGGCCTTCCATGAAGGGGCGATTGCGCTTCTCTATCTCCTTCTCGACGGGGTTAGGATATGTCATAACCTGGCAATTTGGCTGGAGTACAGCTCCCCTTAATTGTAGATAGAATATGGGGCATATGAGGACCTTTTTGTAACATACCCAAAGCCTTATTGTATCTACTTAAGGGGACTATATGTCTTCTACAGCGGAAGTCCCGATGCTTTCTCATGGGGCTCGTTTGAACCTCAACCTGTCAAGGAAAACTTCTCAAATGCCATAGCCTACACTTTACAAAGCTACTTACGTGGAGCGTTTTCAGGTTAGGGGTAGAACCTTTGGGGTCCCTGATAATAAGGATTTGGGGCATTTTCACATCTATATTGGGGCCCACCTGTTTTCGGAAACTATCACATCATCATAAGGGAACCCTGGTGTGAGCTGAAGTCTAAACTCCTAGTATCCCCCTTGATAGCCCCTATAGTAGTCCCCTATATTAGTTATCCCCAATATAAACCCCTTGGTTGAGTTTAGACCCTAAACCGTAAGCCCATATAATCACCCTTATAACCCCCCTGTAAGGAGTTTAGACTCTAACTCATGTGAGGACACACCCGCCTCTCCCTGGAGCATGTGCCGGAGTTCGGCAACCAGCTGGGCATCACTTGCCCGTGAGAAATCGCATGTGCAGGCAGGAGGATAACCGCCAGCCATCATCGCTTAGTGTTTAGGGTTTAGCGTTTAGGGTCAGTAAGCCGGAATTCTGGTTAGGATGCGGGGCATGTAGTAAGTAGAGTAGTCCTCGACCAGCAGAAAACTATGTTGAGTTCGTTTTGAGGGTTGCAGTGCTGCCTTGGATCTCCAGGTTCGGTTCCAAATAGCTTTACAACCCAAAGGCTTCAAGTGCATACATGCGGGGGGGATACCTGAACCCATGGGAACCCTTGGAGCACATTTGCCTATGAGAAAGCAACAGCTGTGATCTTACCACACGTGATGGTAGTATCTTGAATGCCTAAGAAGCGGCAATGACGCACTTTCTGCGGGAGAATAAAGTGAATAAAGACCTCTGACTATTTGGTGGTGCATTTGGGGATCCATCTTTTTACGAAATTTGGCTTCCCAACATCGAAACATGACCTTCAATGATCTTCCTTTCCTGGCTTGGATACAATATTACTGCAATGGACAACCAGAGGGGAGCTTTCTCCTGTATGCTGGTACGAGAGCTGCTACTTCTACAGGTTGCTACGGCATCCCAACAGCTGAGGGTCTTTAGGGTTTGGGGTCTAAGGTTTAGGGTTTAGGTTGGATACTGCCCCCACTCAGCAACAGTTGGATACTAATTATAATATGGTTATATATAGCCCTTAATAGGACCCCTAATATGGACTGTTACTGGGAGCTGGGAGGGGGCAGTACCCAACCTACACCCTAAACACTTAACCCTATGCATGTTGGGGTGTCTTGGAGGCTTAGCCCAGCTCAGTCGTATTGTGGACCAGGGACGCAGCCCTCCGCCAAATAGCCATTGAAGTAGACTCCCGTATGGTCCCATCAACAACCTAACAAACCTGAACCCTAAAAATTAGACCTCAAACCTAGAGAGCCTTAAAATTCATCCCCTTCGTGCCTAGAACGCTAGGACATCATCCACACAACTTAGCTGAACCTTAAACCATAACACGATAAAGCTATTGAGCCCTGGGGCCTGTACCGTACCCCAACCCTAAACCCGACCCTAAACCCTAAACCCTAAAAACACACACACACACACATCAAAACAAAGAAGCAGCAATCCTGGCCGTCGCCGTGTCGTAGTCCTCCATGGATGGAGCCATCAGCCGGGGAGCCTGCAACAGGAGGGCACCTTCATTCTTGATACGGGGGTTTCCCATAATTAGGGGTACCCACTATAATGGAGAACCAAATGGAANNGGGGGCAGTACCCAAGATCTAGGGTTTAAGGTTTAGGCAAGTCCTTAGATGAAGATCTTCGGATCAGCACAGAGCCTGATGCTTGAGCAGGCGGCCGCGGCACTACTGGACAAACCTTGACTCACCACAGCACTAATGCCTAGCACCCTACTTCAAGTACTCTAAACCCTAAAACCCTAAACCTTCAACCCTAAAGCCCTAAACCCTCAATCCCCCTGTTCTGGGAAACCACCCAGTGGGCGGCGTGGGAAAAACCCTTCAGATGCTGGCCTAAACCCTAAACCGTAAACCAACGCAAGGTGCCATGATGGCATTCCTCAGCCTGATAATTCACCCAGCCCCCCCTCACCTCCAGGTTTTAGGGTTTAGGGCTAAATTCTCCCAATAATACCATTTTATCTTCAAAGAATATGCATTCCTAGGAGGATGCTAGGGGGACATCATTAGGGCAAGGGGACTATCTATCCTCGAAGTCCACTTCACATCTCGAACGAGGAGAGTGTGCCTTTCGTCACATGTGGTAGCTTCCCTTAACAGAGGGATCCCAATATGGACCCCATTATACGATAGTCTGTAGTGTGGGGATCTGACAACTAGGGCCCTAAACCCTAAACCCTTCAACCCTAAACCCTAAAACCCTAAAACTTTCAACCCTAACGACTAGGGGTTCTTTCTGGGGAGACCAGGCCCTGATAGAGGCTGGAACCGCTACGCATATGAGCCATTGTCTAAACTCTAAGTATCCCCCTTCATAACCCCTATAGTAGATAGATATATAAATAACCCCCTATATAACCCCCTTTAAGAAATTTAGACTGTAGCACATATGAGCCCTGACTAAACTAGCGCTGTCCGAAGGGTAAGGAAATTGAGCAAGGCCGGGGGAAGGCGACTTTCACAGTGCCTGCTAGGGTTTAGGGTTTAGGATTTAGGGTTTAGGGTTCAGGCTTTGGGGTTCTGACTCACTTGTCAAAACTAAAGGCCTGCAAGGCAGTAGTCAATGAACTTAATCTGCAATTCGACAGCGTTGTGGCGAAATAACATCGAATTTGATTGTGGACTTGCACTGCGCAGCAAAGCAGGCTTAAGGTTTGGGTACGGCACCCACCTAGCAATAGTCTTCATCAGGGTAATATTAAGGGCTACATATGATTCTATTATAACTAACATCCAACTGTTACTTGGTGGGGGCAGTACCCAACTTCAGGTGTTTTGCAGCTAAGGAAGGGTCCCATGCTTCCGACAGTGCCCATACTTTTT